GCAATCAGACGATACTAGCTTATTAAACATCCAAGCACTAATTCTTTTAGCTGACGTAGAACTTCAAAATGGACTTGGTAATGAAGGTAGCTTACATAGTTTACAAGCAGTGCGTAAACTACAAATGCTTGGTGTAGATAAGGAGCAATCTAGATCTCAATCTTCTTCGAGTCTCATGTACCAAAGAGAATTGGAAGCAACTTGGGCAATGGCAAAAAGAACGGATGCAATGGTTTATATGGCAGCAGGAATTCCGCAAACCATTAAACATACTAAAGAGGACTGGGAAAGGTCTACAGATCACTATAAAAGTTTTGAACTTATTGACTCTATGGTTGAAAATTCAGACAGAGATTCTTTTGACATTTCTGAAGAAGAGTTGACTCAATATTTAAGATATCTTTCTATGGAGTTATATTGCTTTTCTTGCGCTTTAACAGACAAAGTTTATTAAGTTTAAAAACCTAGCTCAAGAATCCCATACCACTGATAGAGAAACTTTCCTTAGCAAGTTTGATTCAATAGTCTACTTTTTCCATAACCATCCGTTTTACTCTATTGATGGAAAAACTTTTAACGAAAAGTTTTCAACAGATCATCCTCAGTTTAACTTATTTGCCTCTAATTATTTGCTATTCCAATCACATAGTATTACATTCAGTTATATAATAATCGATTTTTTGGAAGAAGCAAATATGTATGACTATCCATCCCCAGTATCTAGCACTGAAAAGGACATCGCGTATTATAAAGAGCGCTTAAATCATAATATGGATAATCTTGTAGAAGTAGTTTATAGCACAGATCCTCAAAGAAAACAGTTTGTAGATTCTCTTATTAACATTGACTATATTTTCGCGATACCTCATTACTATATACAAAAGTTTAGAGCTAAACAATATGGCACACAGAGCCAAAATCTAATAGTGGATGTTTATGAGTATTGGCCATGTCTTCATAGGATATTCATTATAAATCAAACAAGAAAAGAAGGGCGTCTACAAAATGAAATTGTAAAAGTTCACCAGAAAGTATCGCCTAAACCCCAAGTATACCAAACTCCTCCTCAAAGCTCTCCCAAAGTACACTAATATGATTTATTTACATACACTTTCAATATAATTATTCTAACTGATCTAACTGTTTTATATTAACCAATAAATTGTTTTAATTTGTTTTCAGATATTTATTTTTGTTTGTTTTTAATATAAATATATTAGTTGCCAAAAACGAGTAACAGGATTACAGGGTCCTATGTAGATAATAGCTAGAGAAACTAAGTGATCTTAATTCCACTTTATTATAAGCCTCTATTTTCAATTCTTATTAATTACAGTTATCTTTTGAGCAAGTAAACAAGTTTTGTCTAATTTTTAATTTAAATTTATTCTAGAGTCAGGACAAAATCCATTTATAATGAAAATGGACGTATTTTTAAATATATTATTTTAAAACAATTTCTTTACAGAATTAGAATATGAGAGGTTCTGGTTAATTTGACTTAAATTTGTGTGAGCCCAGTTCAAAATTTTAATTTTAAAATAAGTTAGTTATTATCTTATATATCCATTATTTAAAAGAGAAAACTTCGTATTAATAAACTGAAATACTATATTACCAAAAATATCTAAAAAACTTTTATTCCTTGATATGCTATATATTATAATAAATGAAAAAATTTCAAGCTTGCCTTATAAAAAATTTTGGACAAATTTTCCTCGCTTTAACCAGAATCACTCATATTAATGCTTTTTAATAACAAAGCTAAATACTCCTAAATGTTGTATCTTGATATAATTAATGATTAGAAAATAAATAACAATTATCAATCTATTTGCCTATTATGCGAATTTTATTCAACTTTGAGCAATAAACTTGTCAGTAATACTAGTTGAATGGTTCATAGAAATAAATAGATAAAAAAGCTAATGGCAATTAGATTCACTTTCCATTATTATTTAAATTATATTTATTAGCCTTGTAGTTAAAAAATTTAAAGTTGAGAATTAATAAAAGTAGCTAGTCGAGAATTTTAATATAACGATGATCACGGCAGTGCTTTTCATAATAAACAATTGGAGAGAATGCGTGACATAGTTGGTAACCCTCTTCGTCAAAAGCGACAATCTTAAGACATATTTTCCATTTTCAAAATTTTCAATTTTTAGATTTCTGGAGTGGAATCCATGTCCATGTTTATATTCTTCAATCTTGTAAGCGGTATCATCTTCGGCATACCTTCCATCCTCATTGATGAAGTAGATCTTAATACTATGGATTCCTCTGTCTTCAAGGTCAAATTCAAGTTTTAAGGAGTGTCCGGGTCTATTACAATAGTCAATAGATCTATCAGGCTCAAGGAATACTGATTCATGAGTACCTTCTGGACCAATACACATCCTATGTAAACCGCCGTAAACTAAATGTAATATTGAAGAGAATAGTATAATAGATTTCATATTACAAATATAAGATTAAATAAAAAGAAAATAATAAATTTCACTGCTCTCAACTATCTATCTGCTTTATTTATACAATGCCACAGATAATATTTGAACTCCAATTTACTACAGGGTTTCATCCAAAGTAAATTTTTATTACAATTTGAAATTTACTGTTTAATAAATTTTAGTGTGGCTAAATTAAAAATTTGTTAATAAAAAATTATTTAGATATAGCTTAAACAGCTATATAGTTAAAAAATATTAGCAAATATAATCAATTCAAGTATTTGTTTAATAGTATTTCATAAAGTACTTAAAATATTCATTATCAAGATTTTTACAGTTACTTGTCTACTATACAGATCAATCAATTTTTTGGGCTAATTAACTCAAGAAATTAATGTTGTTACTTGGCTCATTAGCCTCAATTATATTTAATATTGTTTCTGAAAAATATTGAGAGGTAACGGTTTATTATGCTATTAAAAGATAAATTTGAAAGTTAAAAAATATAGTTTGCGAAAGATTGTTAAGTGTAAAGTGATAAATAGATAAGGTATATAATAAATACAAATAAAAGTAACATGCGGATATAAAAAAAATTAAAATTTAAAGCAATAAGTTAATAATATATTAATGCAGCTATTAATTAAATATTAATATTTTATAATATCAGCTGATATGCCCGGCTAGCTCAATCGGTAGAGCGTGAGACTCTTAATCTCAAGGTTGTGGGTTCGACCCCCACGTTGGGTGCTAAATCAATCATTTATTTTTAACTTTAATTATTTTTAACCCATAATCATTTAATTAATTACGTCAGCTCATATTAATATGTGGGTTTACCCAATTCATCGTTATATTTACTACGTTTAATAAAAAGATAAAAAATAACAATGACTACTAATCTACCC